TATGCTTATTGTTCTGGTGATTACTAATAGTATTCCTTTTCCCCTGGAGACTGTTAAGGGAAACTGCTTTAGGAAGTTCTGAAACAGACCCACTTGGTTTGCAACCTAAATGGTGGGAGAAATCAGTGGTTAAAGGATGTCGTTCAGTCAGTGCTGTTGGGACAGAAGGAAATGGGATGGGCCTTTATCTCACACTGCATGCAAACTTTTATTCCAGGGAGACTAAAGACTTGAAGTGAAAAGTAAAACTTTGAAACTTATAGGGGAAAATATGGGACAGTATCTGTAGGACCTCTGGGAAAAGGTAAGGGAAATTTCCTGGGACACAAACCAGAAATTTTGAGAGTAGAATTGTGGTTGCCAGGGGCTGGGGAAATAGAGAGAGGTTGGTCAAAAGGTACAAACTTCCAGGTACAAGATGGATAACGTCTTGGGGCACCTGGGTGGCTCAGTCAGTTAAGCTTCTGACTCTTGACATCGGCTCAGGTCATGAACTCAGAGTCATGGGTTCGAGCCCTGCGTTGGGCTTGTCACTCAGAAGGGAGTCTGCTTTCCCCCTCTCTCTGCCCCACCCATCCCATTAAATAAAAAGAAATGAATAAGGTCTGAGAAGCTATTGTATAATGTGGCTATAGTTGGTAAAACCGTGTTGTATGACTGAACTTTTCTAAGAGAATGGAAATTAAACGTTTTACTGAAAAACACCACCAAAAACAAAAGAACACATGAGGAGTGTGTTAATTAACTCAACAGTGAGAATCCCTTCATGATGTGTATATCTATCAAATCATCATGTTGTATACTCTAAATATATGATTTTGTCAGTTATATCTCAGTAAAGCTGAAAATAGTGAAAAAGACAAAAACAAATCGTAAATTAGAAGACTACATTGACATTAAATAATTTTTTTACGAATAAGACATTATAAACAATGTGGGGAAATAAGCCCACATGCTGAGAGAAGAGATTTGTAACACATGTAAACTAAGCTTGAGTAAACAGAATTCCTGAATATTAACCAAAACCCAAAAAACAAACAGCACACACACACAGTGTAAGAAAATGGCAAAGGATATTAACTGGCATTTTACAGAAGAGGAATGTGAGATGACTAGTGATAATGTAAAAAAGATTCTTAAACTTAGTGGTATTCATGATTATGAAGTTGAAAACACACATGTCTTTCATCATAGCAGTCCCACTTCTAGATATGCAGCCTGGAGAAATGTTCATAGATGAGCACTAGGTGACATTGGTAAAAATATTCATTTCAGAATTTTGTGTGATAGCAAAATAATCCACAATCTAAAAGTGTTGAGAACTAAATTCTGTAATCAGGAGAACTGATAAATTTGGTCTGTGGAAGTATTCCATATAGCAGGTAAAACTAACAGACTACAACAATGTATGTCAATATGGGTAACATGTTCTAGCCACAGTATTAGAATAAAATAATATTTTTAAGGCTATACACAGTTTTTGGTATCAGTTATGAAGTTTAAAGACATTCAGAAAGATTCATAATCTTATGGTTGTATACATGTACTAATATAAAATATGTATGGATATAGTAATTGCCAGGGTTGTGGTTGCTAACCTGTGGGGAGTGGGTGAAGGAGATAATATGAAAGGGTAAAGGGATACTTAAGGAGCATCAGTACTATCCTGTTAATTATTTTCCATTTCATTATTGTTATAAATATAACTTATTTGTCTACTTAATAGTTTCTATTTGTCTACTTTAATAGTTTCTATTTTTAAAATACCCTGAAATATTATTGATGATTATGAATCCTTTCACTGTTTTCCTTTTCTGTAATTCCTTTAGTCCTCTTTAAAATCTGAGAAATATGCCAGTAGCAGTATGTGTAGTGACTATACAGCTTAATATTTTTTAAAATGAAAAATAAAACACATTCTTTATACTCCTCTAAAAATGGTTTAGGTAATTTCTAAGGTTCCTTCTAGCACTAAAGTATCCTTCTTTGATGTTTCCAAACAACAGAAAAATCTTTTTTTTAATACACCATTCTGACCACGGGATAAATTCAAACATTGAGGATAATGAAGCCAATTTCCTGTTAAAGTTGTTTTCAGTCCATCTATCTGCTAGTCTCTGTTAAGCAGTCATCTATCATCTTCAAGAGGTGTCACCAAACTTTTTCTGTAAAGGCCCAGTAGGAAATATTCTAGGCTTTGAAGCCCACACTGTCTGTAGTCAGAACTACTCAGCTCTGCTGTTGTAGTGGGAAAGCCTGCCACACATAATACTTTTATAAGTGAATGGATGTGACTTTATTTATAATAAAATTTTATTTGCAAAAATGGGCAGTGGGATGGATTTGGCCTCTATGTCAGTATTTGCCAACTCATGATGTTCAACACACAAATTACTTCCATAGTATTATCCTTTTATTACAGATGGGAGGCATAGAGACCTTAAATGGTATCATTCAGGTTAAAGGACCCTTATGTAAGGAGACATACCTACAGCAATTCTGCTAGGGTCAATCTCAAAGAGATTACTGTCTGTCTTTTCTTTTAGTTTTATGATTTCAGGTCTCACATTTAGGTCTTTCATCCATTTTGAGTTTATTTTTGTGTGTGGTATAAGAAAGTGATCCAGTTTCACTCTTTTGCATGTAGCTGTCCAGTTTTCACAAAGTCATTTATTGAAAAGATTTTCTTTTCTCCATTGTATATTCTTCCCTCCTTTGTCATAGATTAGTTGGCCACATAAGCTTGGGCTTATTTTTGGGCTCCCTGTTCTGTTGCACTGAGCTGTTTTTGTGCCAGTGCCATACTGTTTGCATTACTATAACTTTGTAGTATATCTGGAAATCTAGGATTGTGATATCTCCAGCTTTGTCCTAAGTATGTCTCCTCAAGCAAAGGAAACAAAAGCAAGAATAGACTGTTGGGACTGCATCAAAACAAAAAGCTTTTGCACAGCGAAGGAAACCATCAACAAGATGAAAGATAACCTGTTAAATGGGAGAAGATACTTGTAAATGATATATCCAGTATGGGGTTAATATCCAAAATATACAAAGAAGTCAACCAACATAATAACAAAAAACCAAGTAGTCCAAAAACAAAAACAAAAACAAAAAACAGGATTTTTTTTTTTTTTCAAGAGAGTACTTAAAAATGGCCAAGAAGTACATGAAAAGATGCTCAACATCAGTCACCATCAGGGAAACACAAATCAAAACCACAATGAGATGTTACATCATACCTGTCAAGATGGCTAGGATAAAAAAAGATAAGAAATAACATGTGTTGGTGAGGGTGTGGAGAAAAAGGAACCCTTGTGCACTGTTGATGGGATTATAAATTGATATAGCTACTATGGAAAATATCATGGAGGTTCCTCAAAAATATTAAAAATGGAGATACCATATGATCCAGTAATTCCATTCCTGGGTATTTACCCAAAACCCAAAAACACTAATTTGAGAAGATATGTGTACCCTTATGTTTATTGCAGCATTATTTGCAGTAGCCAAGATACGGAAGTAGCCAAAATATCCATTGATAGATGGATGGACAAAGAAGATAGGGTGTGTGTGTGTGTGTGTGTGTGTACATACATACATACATATATGGAATATATATAGTGGAATATTAACCATAAAAATAATGTTTTTGCCCTTTGTGACAAAATGGATGTACCTGGAGAGTATGCTAAATGAAGTAAGTCAAAAAAAGACAAATACCAGGTGATTTCATTTTTATGTAGGTCTAAAAAACAAAACTAATGAACAAAGAAAGAAAGTAGACTCTTAAATTCAGAGAACAGACTGAAGGTTGTCAGAGGGGAGTGGTTTGGGTGATGGGTGAAATAGATAAATGGGATTAAGAGGTACAGACTTCCAGTTATAAGATAAATAAAGAGATGAGGGAAAAAAAAGGTGACCCTAACCACATGGTAATAGAATTGTTTTTGTATATATGATGTTCATAGATGATTTTTTTTCTTCCTCTACATGTAGAATATATTGAGAGGGTCTGATCTCTTAGTTTTTTGGAATTCATCTTTAGATGGTGATTAGAAAACGTGTTGCAGGGTCTTTATAGGAATCATTTTATGTATTTTTGCCAAGATTTGCAACCCTTTTCTTTATTCAGATGTAGAAACAAATACAAAAACCGGTGTGATTTAGTTTGTTGTTAATTAGATTTGGATATCTTATAAGCTTTTGACTTAACAGCTATAAATAGCTTTATATAACATAAATTATTACTAAGCACTTGTGTCAGTTGTATTTCAAATAAGTTTTATGAAGAAATTTCTTTGCAGTTACTTTGACCTGAAGTAATTGAAAATTTATTTATTTACATTTACGTTCCAGGTCTAGGAAGTATATTTTTCCCTCTCCAATTTCACGGGCTAGAGGATAGTACGTTTTGTGTATGTCAAGTAATTACTTCTCTGTATACAGAAAGTAGGCCTATCATGGTCATATTGGAATCTGTGCAAATCTAAATTAATCAAAATTAATTTAACCTGAATGAAAACTGCCTGGAAGGGGGGCCTGGGTAGCTTAGTCAGTGATGTGTCTGACTCTTATTTCAGTTCAGGTCATAATCTCAGGGTTGTGATTATCAAGCCCCATGTTGGGCTCTGTGCTGAGCATGGGATCTGCTTAAGATTCTTTTTCTCCCTCTCCCTATGCCCCACCCCCACTTACTCGTGTGCACACACACTCTCTCTCTCTCTCAAGAAAAAAAAAAGATGGAGAACTGCCAAAAAGCAGTTTTTTTTCAGAACAATGAAAGTACATGTGTTTACAAAAGTTTTCATATGAATCAGAGCCAGGATTTGAGCCCATAAAGTAGTTAAGTAGGTGTTCTTAGAGTATTAGTTGTTGTTGTTTTTTCTTTTGGAGTATTAGTTTTAAAAGAAGTTGAAGTTTTCAGACAAATTTTTATCTTACCAAGTAAATGGTTATGTTTATTTTTCTCAGCTAAAAATTGAAAGTGTCTGTCTTTTCAGGGACATCAAACCTGACAATATATTGATGGATATGAACGGACATATTCGATTAGCAGATTTTGGTTCTTGTCTGAAGCTGATGGAAGATGGAACGGTAAATAAAGATGAATCTCAAGTTATTTTGTCCACAGATATCTCCCTTGCTATTTGTCCTGTTTTAGAAACTATCTATTTATATTTTCTAAGTATCCATCCATCCATTTGTCTTTCTGTGCTCCACCTTTTCCCACAATGGCATTAGGGATACTTACTCATAATAAGGTTTGTATACAAAGTCCAATGCCATTTTTAACTGCTTATATTAATGATGTTAAGATTGATACAGTGTGTCTTTTATGAAAACCTTATTTGTTTTTTTCTTTAGCTGAACTGTTTATTAATTGTACTTGAGGTATTTTCACTGTTTTAGAGAGGTGAATAAAACAATTCCCACATGGGAGAAGAAAATGTGACTCCTTCTTCATCTTTATTTTTTTTTAATCTTCTTTCCTAGTTGTCTAGTTTTTTTGAGGGACAATATTCAACAAATGAATGCTTTCATCAGAACATTTCTATGTGAATTTAGTTTCACATTCCCATTTGGTTTACTTCTACTAACCCTTGGTCCCTCATATAAACTTAAAGGATTATATGCCCCAATTTTATTCCTTGTTTTGTTTTGTTTGTTTTTACTTCAGTTTCCTGGCTGTATAGCAGAGATCCAAGTATATGTAATTTCACTTGGCAGAAATTATTTTGGAAAGCAGTTTAGTATAATATATTCTAAAGGCCATGAAAATGTATATTGGTTTGGACCAGTAATTGGACTTCTGAAAATGTATCCTAAGGAGATAAACTTTAAAAAAATTAGGTTTTATGACTTCTGCTTCTGGCCATGATCAAAGGAGTAATTGGTACCAAATTGTCCTCTCACTATAAAAAACTATAAAATTGTACATAATATTTGGGACATCAGTTTTCAGGCAGTAGACAACAGGCAGCATAAGACTGTTATCTTTGAGAGAAATGAATTCATGAGATGTACCTTACCATTTCCCAGTATGGGTACAGTCTGCTGGCTCTTGATGCAGAAACCTAGTGTTAGAGGTGAGGGTAGGAGTTCTCCAGAGCTGAGGAGGAAGACATCAGAGATGAGTTAGTTAGTCTGCAGTGTTTAACACTGGAGAGGAGGAAGTTTTTCAGAGAGAGGGCCTAAAGTATGCCTATGGGGCTATCTCCTGCAGGTTGGGCTGTACAAAAGCAGTATAAGACAGCAGATGTACCGAATAATAGATGCTGTGTATCTAAAAATTGAACAGGTTTCTGAAAATCATGTGGTGCTGGAGAAGAGATAGTACATGGGTACACTGGAATTTTGGCCCCGGGGAGCTATTTAACACCTTTATACCATGTAAGACGTACTCCAAACCTGTATAACAGTCTAAATCCAAGTCCTGATAAAATTCATTGAGTTTGAAAGTGGTCTTCTAAGTCAGGGGGTTTGAGATGAATCTTAGAGTTTCTACAAGTCTGGCCCCAAAGAGTGTAATTATAAGCTAACCCTTGTTTAAGGAGATCAGGTGGTATTTTTTTATCTGCTTCAATAATATTTAACATCTTCAGTGGAAGATAATACAGTTCATACTGTCTATAATAACTTTTTCTGTCAATGACCAACATTCAATCAGAAATCACCAGACCAAACAACAACGGGGCTAGGATAGGGATTCTGTTACAGACTTAAAAAATAAAAGTTGTCAGTAGAAAGTTTGATAGCACAGATATTGGACTTAGAGACATAATAAAGGTATCATAAATATGTTTTTTAAATAAATATGTCTAAAGAATCAAAATGTAGTCTTAACGATGGCTCAGATAAGGAATCTCAGCAAGAAAAGAAATCAAATGGACCTTTTTAGAACTTAAAGTGTAGTAGTAGAAATAAAAACTCACAGGAGGAGATTAATGGCAGATTAGAGATGAGAGAAGAAAGTGCCAGTGAGTTTGATGACCATTCAATAGTGATGATCCATTCTGAAGAACAAAGAGGAAAAGATTGAAGCAAAATAAATTCAGGCTCCGGGGTCCACATGATTGGAATACCAGAAAGAGAAAAGAGTGAAACAGGAACAGAAAGAATTTGTAGGGTTGATGGCTCAGACTTACCAAATGTGAAAAACACAAACCTAAGAATCTTAGTGTACCTCAAGGTTAAAAGGAACCACACAATTAAACTCTCAAACATTAAAGATAAGAGGAAAAAAATGGAAAGCAGCCAGAATTTAAAATATGTTACATATTTTGGGAAAATGGTAAGAATAACCATAGGTGTCTCATCAGAAATAATATCTTTAAAGTGCAGAAAGAGAAAAAATATCTATAGACCAAGAATTCTCTGCCAAGCAAAAATATTCATCAAAAATGAAGGTGAATAAAAGACATTTTCAGTTAAATGAAAGAGATCACTCTCCAGCAGTCCTGGATGCTCAAGAATGTCCTTTAATCCAAAGGAAATGATACCATTTGGATAATTAGATCAGTAGGATAAAGAATATCAGATATGATAAATAAGATCTGTAGGATAAAGGAAAAAAAGGCTCATCTTTCCTTCAAAATTTACCTAAAAGCCATCTGATGAGTGTGAAAAGCAAAAATAACCACACTGTCCTGTGGGGTTATGGTATTTGTAGAAGTAAAGATCTATGAGGGCAGTAACCATGTGAATGTGTCCGTGGAACTGTGCCTCCATAACCTCTGCGTCTCTGTGAAGCATGAAGTAGGCAGCTGATCATGGCAGGTATGAAGCAAGAAGGGAGGGCTTGCTGAGTTGAGGAGACACAGATTCAAATCGGGGAGGCTGTGGCCTCAGGAGGTTTTGGATCAGAATTCTGGAGAGCAGAGTGCTACAGTGAAGAAGAATTCCAGGAGAAGAGCTAGCGTTTCCCTGAGTCCTGTGGGTCATACGCCCCTTAGACTCAAAGCTGGGGCTCTTTTCCTGGAGTCTGATAGGCGGCCTTCCAAATCCCTGTGCATTCCAGAATGTGGTGAGGACTGTTTCTGTCTGTATGAGTTACCCCTGATCAAGTTTATTCCTTGAAATCCTGGTGTGTCTTCCTGCTCGTTCATTCTTTGCTGATGATCTCAAAATAATTCTGAACATATAGCATGTTTATCCTCCATTTAGAAAATTATAATGAACAAGCCTTTTTACTTGTTTTATTTCCACTTTATTTTTATTTTTTTAAAATCAGAGTGATCTATATGTGTTTTAAGGAGGCTTATCATAAAAACTGCGTTCCTTTGTCCCATTCTTTCTGCCTCCAAATCTCCTTTGCTAGAGGCAGACACTTGGGAGTCTTCTGGCTGCTTGTGTTGTCGCTTCCTTTACTTACATATTTCTTGTTATCATACTTGTGCTACTGTCTTTTGATTATTTAGTACTAGTTATTACCTGTTAATTTCCTACCGTATCACCCATCCCATACACTTTCTATCTTCTTAGTGTCTTTCCTTAAGTCCTGTTCAATTCTTTATGACTCTATACAAATATTATTAATAATTTTGCCATTGCATGCAGTTTATTTTAATTACAGTTCTTTTCTTGAACACTTTTTGTTGTCCCTGGTGTAAGTGACCACTTTGTCTTGTTTTCTATAACTCTCACTAGTTTATCCTCAAATTTCCAACCCCTAATTCCTTTCTCTCTCAGAAACATTAAGTAACCTAGTGGTTCCCTTTTATCTTTGGAGGGAGCTGTGCTGGAGTCTTGCCTTCTCCCTTCTCATCCAGACTGTTCTGCCGGCTTGTTGTAGCACTGTCCTGCCAGGACTATCCTACTCTTCATGGTGGGATTCACGGCATGGCCATCTAGCAGTGGATCCTCTCTTTCCTGGGTCCCATGTCTGCCTTTCTCTTTATCTGGTAGTAGCTCTCAGTAGCTCTCCTGAGAGCCACTTATGGAAGTAAATATTTTATAATCTTGCACGTGTGAAAAATGCTTTCACTTCTACCCTCATATTTGATTGATAATTTGTTTGGGCATAGTAATGTAGATTTCAAATGATTTTTCTTAGAATTTAGCAGGCATTGCATCGTCTTCTAATTTACTGTTGAGATATCTGGTGCCATTCTAAATCTCAGTTCTTCTGTTAAACCTTTCCTCCCTTTTCTAAAAGCGTTTAGGATATTCTATTCTTCCCAGTGTTCTGAAATGTTATAATTATATGTCTTTGTATGGATCATTATTTATTACCTGGGCAGCTGCCTCAGTTTTAGCTTTTCCTAGATTTTGGGACTTTGCAAATCAGGTCTCAGCTTGCTTTTGGGCTCTCACATATGAGTTGAAATTATGCCATCTTAATCACTACACCTTTATAAGAAGTCAGTTTCTGGGAAGGATGTCCTGCTGTACTTCTTTTTCTTCTTCTAAGATTGTCTTAGCTGTTCTTGGCCATTTGTTTTTCCATATGCTTGTTAGGGTTATATTAATGGTTTATATATATACCAAGTATACACAAATACCCCTTCAGAAACAGAAGCTTGTAGACTTGCATTGAATTTAGAGGTTAATTTTGGGGAAATTTATGTCTATAACATGAAATCTTCGTTTCCACAAACATGATGTCTCTCTCCATTATTTAAGGTTTTCCTTTATGTCTGTTATTGAAGTTTTATAATCATGTTTACAGTAAATCCATTACCTTTATTTGTTAAATTTGTTCCTAGGCATACTGGATTTTTGGGGCATGGAGCATTATAAACAATAACTGTTACAGTTTCAGTTTAATAGCTTGTTGTTTTGTTGAGGACCACAGTTGATTTTTGTATTCTCATTTTGAAACTAGAAAGCTCACTAAATTTTTTGTTCAAAATAATTTGTAGATTGTTTTAGGTTTTGTACGTAGACAGTCACATAATTCACATTAACAAATGCTTATGTATGCTGTTTTTCCCCTGTATGCAATCAGTGATCTTCAGTGCAATATTAAATAGGTATGGTAATAGGGAGCTCCTTTGCCTTGTTCCTGATGCTTATGGTGTTTTTTCTGTAGTTTCAAATTAACTATGATATTTGCCATAAGCTTTTGATAGATACTCTTTACAAGATTAAGGAGA